AAAAAACACGCAAATTAAAGCGCTATTTAAGTCGAATTCCAGAATCAAACACTCAATTAGCAAATCGAATTAATTCGAAAAAATTGTAGCAAATTGTTTATTATCCGGTTTAGGAGGACAAGCCAATCCCACTGTTTTACCATCTGCAAGATACACTTGTAAAAAATATCACTAGATACATCTAAACAGTCGCGACATTTCATCAGGGACAAGGTTTTTCCATAGGAATCTGCGTTTTGGAAAAAAAAATTAAATGTGTAAAAAATCGACGATAAGAACCGTGAAAAATCTACTCACAGCTAAAAATTGTAAATCGGAAGTAATCAGTTATTGCCCAAGTTCTGAAAACCCCTGCAGTCACGCCACTGCAGAGCCACTGCGGTACATGGCCTGATGATGCCTAAATAAAAAGGGCAAAACGTCGGTCATTTAAAACAATTGGCTTTGTGTTTAGCACTAAAGCAAGCGTTTTCCCTAAATTTGGACTTTTATTGGATACTAGCAAAACTCCATTTCCTTCGTTATTTTTCCAGGAGCACATAAATTGCCGAACTGAAAAATTGAAGAAACTTGAAAAAGCTCAAAAACGAATTGCGCTTGTTGAGTTTGGGCAAATAAAACCGTTTTACAGCTCCAGACAAAGCGCTCTTAATGAATGCATAGTCACAGCGGGACAGCAATTTCTCCCGGCCCTCCTCCATTCCTCCATATAACTGGGCGTCAAACTGGAGACGCCGTGATTCCAGATAGATGTAAAAGAGAGCGCAAATAAAGCGCTCTTCCCGAAATGAGAGTATTCACCGCAGGATCGTTATTCGTCACTTTGTCCGTAGAGGACTTGAGCCAAGCTCGATGCGATAATGTAATCCGGAACTTTTCCGCCGAATATTTTAAATCAAAACTGCTGCAAAAGACACAGCTCGAACTAACCGACGCTTCGTCTGCAGGGAAATTCCGATTTATTGTCAAAGTCTATGCATTGGAACGGAAAACGCTCCAACTAAACCTGATTGCTTTCATAAGAACAACTGGACGGTCCCAGAGTTGATTAAGAAAGTTTTATACGATTCCAGTTTGAGGGTTTCACGGTACATGCAGGGTGTTTAATAAGAAGCGCGAACATACTCCTGGATCGATACTCATACAATTTATCAGAGAAACTTTCTGTTGATCGCGACATTATATAGAATGAGTCTGTTTGAGATAGATATGACAGTAAACTGGAAATTTCTATCATTTGTTCAGTTGCCTTTATGTTATACATTTTCTTGATGCAAATTTACCTCAAAAGCCCTCTTTCCTTAACAAGACATATGTGATAGCAAAACTCCAAAATGGCTGAAAAAACTCAAGTTTAAAACTCAAGCGAGTATTTTAACAATAATTTTCATAGTAAGCCTGTAACTGACGAGCCAGAAATAAACATTTACCGACAACCTTTTTTAAAAAATCAAATCTTTCAACCCAGAGCCGCTAGGAACTTGAACTTCGCTCACCCTATAGGCAACATTTCAAGCAAAAAATTCTGAATATATCATTCAAAGTTACCTCCTCCTGTTTTTTGCCAATGCTGAAAATTATGGGCAAAAAATTCATTCGCATCATCAAAACAAAACATTCGCACTCAACTGCAAGTTCTCCTTTAAAAACCATCCACTTTCAGTCCAGAGCCGCTAGAAAGATGAAATTTACTCACCATATAGAAGACACTTGCAGCGAAAAAGTCTGCAGGTTTCACTCAAATTAGGCCTGGGTAACTCAGTTAATTTTTAGGAGTTCGCGCAGTGCTGCGCAAATGGCTTGGTGCGCCAACCCAACTCACCGGCGCAATTAGTTCCGTTCCTGAGACAATATTAATGCATTTTTTACTTGTTTCTAGATTTGTTTTAAGGATCATTTATTATACATAATTTTAAAATGTCTTCAAAATTTTAGAATTTTTCAGTTTTAGCTAAGGTACTGGCCCTTCTAACAGTTTCTAAACTTTCACTTAAAAATTCTGACAACCTTAAGGTATTTTCCGCGAAAAATTATGAAATAAATTTTGAATCCGTCGTGTGAATTTAGAATTCATTGTCGCTTTGTAAAAAGTTTTTAAACCCCTTTCCAGCTTCGAATTTGGAACAAAAATTAAATAATTTTCTATCAAAAAACGAACAGAATAAGCGAAAGTGTATAACAGATTATTTGGAAAAATCGTCACCTCTGAAGACTGTAGAAGTTGTTCAAAATGTGTTTTTTTAGTTATGATTTAATTTTTTTTCTTTACTTTCTACTCAAACTCACTCTATTTTGAAGAGTTTCACTTAAAAATACTGACGAACTGGAGAACTCTTACGCAAAAAATTGCAAGATTAATTTACAGCTTTGTAAAAATTTGAATGTAAAAATCTGTTCAAAGAATTCAGCGTCGAATTCGGGACAAACACCAAAAAATAACTTCCATCCGTTTTTCCCCGAAAACCGTTAAGATTTTTCCCAAAACCCATCATAAAACTAAAAGTTTTTAATCGAAAACGCAAAAAAGCATTATTTTCTGAAGATATTTTAGTTTCTGACAATAATGCAATAATGGGATCTTTTCCGCCAAAAATTACAAAATTGATTTTGGTAGAAAATTGGCCTTATTTATCGGTTTGCAAGAAAATATAGACCGCCGTTTGAGCTTCGAATGTGGCACAAAAACCAAATAATTTATCTTTCTACGCAAAAGGCGCATTATTTTTTAGTTTTACTAAAACTACTGACAATATTTCGGTATTTTCTGTGAAAAACTATAACATACATTTTATAGGAACACTTAAACGCTTTGCAAAAAATTGGAAAAAACTTTTTGCATCTTTGAATTACAGACAAATCCGTAATTATTTTTTTTGGGTGTTTTTCCAAAAGTATTTCCGCGAACTGAAAAAGCGAAAGTTTATACTCATTTATTTGGAAAACTCTTGGAAACTACGGTTTTAGGTCAATATTTCTAAATAATACTGTCTCTAACAGAAAAACCGCGTTTTTCCTAACGTTTTACTGTAAAATACTGATAAACTGAATCTTTTATGCAAACCAATTAAGAGATTAATTTTACAAGAAAGCTCGTCGACTTTCTTTGAACTCAGTTCTGTTATAGAGAAAATCTAGATGACTTTTATCAGTTGTTTGAGCAAAGTAGTAAAATGTTACTCAGAAAAAGTAATCGATGAATCATAGCTCGTTAGCTCAGAGAGCGGCAACAACTCAATAGCGCAACTCAACACAGTGTTGCCCAGGCCTAACTCAAATCGCAAATAATTTCGAATTTTTTTCGCTACCTCTTTAAATGATGGACCAAAAATACACTTTTATGCACCGCGTGCAGTTGAGTTAACGGTTTTCTTAACAAAAATCAACTTCCAATCCAAATTTTTTCAAATTTGTTTTGAAATTTTTCCTCAAATGAAAATAAATCCGAATTTTTCCAAAGCCTGTACGGGATGGAACAAAAATGAATATGCAGATTCAACTGTACGCTCTGCTCTAAAAAATCGAAACTTCCAATCCAGACTAGCTATGAACTTAAATTTTGCCCGCCCAATAGCAATCACTATAGACCAAGCATCCTGAAAATTTCACTGGAATGAAACGAAATCCCAATTTTTTTTACGCCTGTGAATGACGGAACAACATTAAACATGCACCCAAAACTACACGCTGTACTTTCCTTTTCTACTTTCCAATCCAAAGCTGCCATCAACTTAACTTTCACTCACCCTATAGAACACTACAGGCTGATACACACACACATCAATTAAATCTCAATTTTCGCTAAGGTTCTAAATAGTAGACCAAAAATGAACATGCACCATTTTAAATTGGAAAGTTGATGCCTAATATTTTAGATCGCGTGCCCCCAATGACTTCGGCACACTGCCCAATTTCGGAGGTTCTCGGTGGAACACCCTGTAGAAGTGCGATGTTTTCGGCTTTTTGGGTGCATCGCACATTTAGTCAGTGCACTTGTCATTTGCGGCCATCTGGGATATTGCGAGGATTTTCGAACACTGATTAAGTAAAAGCTGCGCTCTTAGGCCCGGTTTCACCATCTCCGATTAAAATGTTAATCATTGATTAAAACTATTTAATCATCAATTTGCGTTCGACCATAATTTTAACCACGATTATGGACACTTAATCAGTGGTTAACTTAACCGCCTAAAATGGCTGGTTGATGACGACAATCACGATTAGTGTGGAATTATAACCTCACAATAACGAAAAAATAATTTTTCAAAGTAAACACATGTTGGATTTTGTTTATGACGATGTTTTATTATCGCCTGATTAGGAGAATTACATTCAGGTTGTTAGAAGGCCCGATCGGCCACTAGATCACATCTTGTTGCTGCTGGAGATTTTTTTTGAGTAAACAAAGCTAGTGCACATCGAATTTTACATCGAGTAACTGCTGCAATAGCCACATTAGCACGAAATGACATTAAACTCCCATCTACAAAAAGGGAAATAAGTGCAGCACAAGTAAATGTTTATGCAATAGCTGGTTTTAAAGTTATATTTCAGTGTTGGGTTGTACTCACATTAAAGTACAATCCTTTGGGGAGACAACGCAGAAGTATTTCGTAATAGAAAGTATATTTCTCTATCAAAGTTCAAGCGACATGTGAACACTATTTTGGGGAAAAATTATTTCAGTTGATCTGTCAGCTGTTTGAACCAATCAGAACAGTTGATTCAAAGGAAATACGATCTTACCCGATGAGACTGGAGACCGGAGTTAAAATGTTTGTTGTGGAACGCATGACAATTTAATCATGATTAAAGTGGTGATTAAGAAATTGTTGTGATAATTAGCCAAGAATTTAATCACTCTGGGTGGAACTGGGCCTTAATAGTAGCCTGCAACATTTAAAGATGATTAAATATGGTAGCAACTCTTTTTATTCATTACCGTTCTGTTGAGCATTTGAGTTAGTAGGTGCGTTTGCTAACTTTATCTTCTTTGATTGCAGCATCCAGAGCCCAAGACAAGCCATGACATGAGATGAGCGTCTGGCAATACATGGAGGTAGCCATCACGCTGTGTGTAGGGGGTAGCATTGTCGGTTCCCTTCTCCTGTGCTACTCCTGCGTTCTGAGGGACCTCTGCTGCCCGCCCCGTCCTAGGAAACCGCACCAGGACTGCGATAAGCCCAGCCCTGAATCCATTTCCCTCAAATACATGACCCATATCAGCAGCCAGCCGACTGAGATCAGCCAAGTGTAGGATCAGAGTGGCCATGCTTCGAGACCTTTGGGGGTGTAATGGAGAGGACCAGACACTTTTCGTGGTGAACATTTAGCGTTGGCCATGCCCGTGTGGCACTACATGGAAGTGGTGCTTACCTTAACAGTTGGCGGGTGCATAGTGGGAGCCTTGCTCGCCTGCTACACATGCGTGTTTCGGCAATTGTTCTGTCCTCCGCGTCGTGGTAGTGCGGATGGTAAATCCAGTCCAGAATCAATTTCTTTGAAGTATATGGCGACGTTTAGCAGTCAGGCTACAGACACTAGTCCAGTGTAAATTTGTACTTACCTACTGTCTAAGTTGCGGTTTTTAGTTAGGGAGATGATTATGCAGATTTTTTTCATGAAAAGTGTTTTATTTGACAAGTTTTTCCACCTTTCAGGGGTAACAGGGACAAGTTTGAACAACGAATCGACCCCAAGAGTGCTTACACAATATTTGTAACCATCGGATTTTATTGCAATTTTTTGAACGCTTTTCTTAACTCGAATCTTGCAACTTCTTCCGTTCTTTTATTTCGAGTCTCATTTTTTACTTACTTTTATGCAAATTATCAATAAATAATTGAGCCAAAGAAGAAAATTTAAATCAGCTTTCAAGAAGGTTCACTAGGTGGGTGTTAAGTTGCGCTATTGAGTTTTTGTCGCTCTCTGAGTTAACGAGTAATAACTCATCAGTTAAGGAGTTAAAATTAATTTATTACAGCTTTACGAGACCCGAGACTGGAATTTTCACGACTGAAAAAAGGTGATCAACATTTTCTCTGAGTAACGTTTTACTACTTTGTTCAAACAACTAAAAAAAATTATCTACATTTTCTCTGCAACAGAACTGAGCCCAAAGAAAGTCGACGATATTTCTTGTAAAATCGATCTTTTATTTTATTGCATAAAAGATTCAGTTTGTCAGTATTTTACAGTAAATCCTTAGGAAAACTGCGGTTTTTTTGTATAGAGACAGTGTTGTTTAGAAATATTGACCTAAAAATTAAGTTAAGCGTTTTCCAAATAAACGATTTTAAACTTTGGCCTTTTCAGTTCGGGGAAATATTTTTGGGAAAACACCCAAAAATAATTATTAGGCTTTAGTCCGTAATTCGAAGCTCCAAAGAGTTTTCCACACATTCTTGCAAAGCGGTTCAGAACGCGAGTGTTCCAATAAAATGTATCTTATAATTTTTCACAGAAAAAACCTGAAGATTGTCAGTATTTTAAGTAAAAATATAAAAGAATGCGATTTTTGCGTCGAAAGAATTGCTTAATAGAAACTTTGTTAAAACTGGAAAGACCTGAAAATTTAAAGAAACTTTAAAAATCTTCAGAGCGGTGAGGGCGGCGAATTTTCCAAATATTTTTTTGTAAATTTTTGCTCTGGTAGTTTTTTCAAAATAATTGTAATTACTTTAAATTATTTGGTTTTTATGCCAAATTCGAAGCTGAAACGGGGTTTCTTTATTTCCCTGCAAACCGATGAATCAGGCGAATTTCTAGCAAAATTAATGTTGTCATTTTTGGTTGAAAAGGCCCCATTATTGCCAGAAGAGAAGAAAATCGTCACAAAATAATGCTTTTTAGATTAAAAACTTTTAGTTTTGTGATGGGTTTTGGAGAAAACCTTAATGGTTTTCTTCGAAAAACGGGAGGAATTTATTTTCGCTTTTGTCCCGAATTCGACGGTAAAGTCTTTTTTACAAAGCTATAAATTGATCTCGTCATTTTTCGCGTAAAAGTTCTCCAGGTCGTCAGTATTTTTAAGTAAAAAAAAAATCAGTCAAAACTAAAAAACCGCATTTTTTAAGAAATTCTACAGTCTTCAGAGGAATGGAGGTGACGAGATTTCCAAATAATCTGTTATCAACTTTCGCTTATTCTGTCTGTTTTTTTATAGAAAATTATTTGATTTGTGTTCCAAATTCGAAGCTGAAAAGCGATTTCAACTCTTTTTACAAAGCGATTAAGGATTCGAAATTTATTTCATTCTTTTTCGTGGAAAATACCTTAAGACTTTCTGCATTTTTAAGTGAAATTTTAAAAAATTGAACATTTAGAAGAAAGAGTAACTTGGCTAAAACTGGAAAATTCTGAAATTTTGAAGAAATTTAAATAAAATTATTAATAAATGACCCTTAAAATAAATCAAAAACAAGTAAAAAAATACATCAACATTTTCTCAGCAACGAAACTGAGCTTGCTGATAATCTATCAACATTTTTAAATGAAATTTTAGAAAGTTGAGTTTTAGACAGAGAGAAAAAGAAAGAGTAACTTAGCTAAAATTAGAAAGATCTGAAATTTTGAAAACAATTTCAAAATATTATTAATAAATGACCTTTAAAAAATCTAAAAACAAGTAAAAAAATACAACAACATTTTTCCAGCAACGGAACTGAGTTACTACGCCGGTGCGTTGGGTTGGCGCACCAAGCCAGTTGCGTAGCTCTGCGCCAACTCCTAAAAATTCTGGACTGAAAGTTGATGCACAAAAAAACAGGATTTTGTAAGACTTGATTGATATATTCAGGATTTTTGGCGTGAAATGTTTTCTATAGGGTGAGCGAAGTTCAAGTTCCTAGCAGATCTGGATAGAAAGATTTTATTGTTTTAAAAAGGTTGTCGGTAAATGTTTATTTCTGGCTCATCAGTTACCGGCTTACTCTGAAAATTATTGCTAAGATACTCGCTTTAGTTTTAAACTGGAGCTTTTTCAGCCATTTTAGAGTTTTGCTTTCACATATGTTTTGTTGGAGGAAAGAGAGTTTTTGAGGTAAATTTGCATCCAGAAAGTGTATAACACGAAGGCAACTGAACAAATGAAAACAAATTCCAGTTTAGCTTCTTTACCAGAAAACTAATCTCAAACAGACTCATTTTATAGAATGTCGCGATGAACAGAGAGTTTTTTCATCCAATAGTTTATTTTGTTTTGATATATATTTGGTTGAGAAAAACTATTGTTTTTTTTTAACAAAAAATGTTTTTGAGGCTAGATTTTGAAGAACGTGTTAAATATAGAGAAAACTACACAGGAAAATTATAAATAACAAAATGCATAACAAACAAATTCAAAATTATCTATTATTATATAATTATATATTTAAATAAGAGAAATTCAATTATGCATTTCACATAAAAAAGAACAAAAACCAAAAAAGGTTTTCGAAGTAATAGAATATTTCTAGTCTGTTTCCTCAAAAAAATGTTTCTCACTTGATGCGGACAATACAAAGAGAAATTGAATGCGAATTAATTAAGTAGCAAAATATAAATCTTGAGATTGACCTAAATATATTAGTAGATTGTAATATAAAAAATACGGAATTATGGCATTAAATCAATTAAACTCTCCGTGGCACATAAAAAAACAAAAAACAAAAAGGTTTTACAACTACTAAAACATAAAAAACATACATTTCAAAAAAGCTCAAGTTTTTCGGGGATTAACAAACACTTAATAAAGTCAATTTCAAGCGTAACTTATAAAAATTAATTAACTAATATCCACAATATAAAGCGAAATAATCGCTCACACTGATTGTGCTATAGAAATGTACAAAATTGTCCAATGAAATAAACGAAAGAATGGGTCGCACATAAAAATACAACAAAAAACGTTTTAAGAATTAATAAAATCTTAAATAATTTATTCATTTGAAAAATACATGTTTCTCACTAATTAACAAACTCTTGTAAAGTGTAACAAATTTCACCTGATTTAAACTTTCAGTTTGGGAAAAATATGGGGGCAAAAGTGCATGTCCGAACTTAAAAAATTATTAGTCCTAAGCTAGAGACCAGAAAACTTTAAAAAGCCGAAAACCCACTATGCAACAAACTTTGCCCAAAAAGTGCAGGTTCATTTTTTTAAATCTCAGTGCCGAATCTGGAGCCGATCAAATTTTCGGATTTTGAACGCATCTGGAAATCACCTTTGTAGATCACGCAGTAATTTTCTAGAAACTTTAATGCTGATATTAAGTCAGAAATGCGACCAAAACAGTGCAAAAAACCCTTCTAGAATGACTAAAATATTAAATAATTTCTTCATTTTAAAAATACATGTTTCTCACTTGTTAACAAACTCTTCTTAAGTGTAACAAATTTCACATGATTTGAACTTTCAATTAGGGAGAAATATGGGGGCAAAAGTGCATGTCCTTAACTTAAAAAATAATTAGTCCTAAACTGGAGACCAGAAAACTTTAAACTTCCAAAGGCCTAGAGCCGAAGCCTTTCTTGAAAAGTGCGTGAAATTGCGCTTGATTCTAATAACTCCTTGGGTTTTTAGAAACTTTGGAACTTTCAGTTAGTCGAAAATTGGGCCCAAAAAATACAGGTTAATTTTTTTAACTCTCAGATCCGAATCTGGAGCCGATCGAATTTGGAAGTTTTGAACGCATCTGGACATCGCCTTTGTAGATCACGCCATTTGTCATTTTCTAGAAACTTTGAAGCTGATACTAAGTCAGAAATGCGACCCAAACAGTGCATATCTGTGCTTAAAAAATTGGAGCTACAAAACTGGAGCTGACACAATTGTTACCCTTTGGTCACTTCAAGAGGAATCCATTTTATTGGGCCAAATTTCAGCTGGTGCCAATGCCCCATTGATTTTCTGTAAATTCGATTATTCGCCAAATATGAGCATAAATACCTATTTAACATTGTTCCTCATTTTGTGATAACTTCTTTTGATCAAATCTGTATACTTAATTAGCTCTTCGTTGCGATTTGTAAGAAAAAGGGAAATTCCAGAAAATGTTTGCAATTGGCTCGAAAATTAGTGTCAAAGTTTCAAATTTTGCTACCATAAGAAAATTTGCTTTGACATTATTCGCTTTAGTTTCTGCTTCAGTTAATATTTAATATTTATCAAATGAATATATTTTTCAAACCCACATCTTCAGTGCCTACTTTCCCGCTTTTTCAACATTTTTTCTTAGTACCGTTTTACTACTTTGTTCAAAGAACTAAAAAAGTCATCTAGGGCTGAAAACCAAGTTGAAACGGGATTTCTATAGTTCTCTGCAAACCGATGAATGAGGCGAATTTGTTAGCAGAACTAATTTTGTCATTTTTAGCTGAAGAAACCCCATGATTTTCAAGAAAAAAAATCGTTAAAAATAATGTTTTTTGCGTTTTCGATTAAAAACTTCTACAGTCTTCAGAGGAATGAAGGTGATCATTTTTCCTAATAATCTGTTATAAACTTTCGCTTATTCTTTTTGTTTTTTGACAAGAAATTATTTGATTTTGGTACCAATTTCGAAGCTGGAAAAAGATTTGAAAACTTTTTACAAAGTGACGAAGGATTCGAAAAATATTTCATAATTTTTTGCGGAAAATACCTTAATATTTTCTGCATTTTTAAGTGAAATTTTAGAAAATTGAGCATTTAGAGTAACTTGGCTAAAACTGGAAAATTCTGAAATTTTTAAGAAATTTAAAGAATGTTATTAATAAATTACCCTTAAAATAAATCAAAAACATGTAAAAAAAATACGTCAACATTTTCTCAGCAACGGAACGGAGTTATTGCGCCGGTACGTTGGGTTGGCGCAGCCCTGCGTCAACTCATAAAAATTCACTGAGTTACCCTGGCCTAACCTTCCAATTTCAAATTAGTTCCCAAAATGAAGAGCCGTTAATCAATGTTCAAGTAGAAATTCTCTCCGCGCGAGAAAAAAGCTTCCAATACTTGAATAAGACCACAAATCTTCTCATATATATTTTATTCCCATATAGGCAGCCGGACGGAGAAAGCTCTTTGGCTCACCTTAAAGAGGCGAAACGTTTTGAGAAAAGTCCGCCACAAAGCAAACACCGTCCAGCTGGTAATACTTGAAAACAGGTTAACATCTTTACATCTTTGGAAAACAATTGTTTAAGTACATCTGCCCATTCATTAAACTAGTGGAGTATTACGAGGGAAAAACCCTTAGATGCTTCAACAACGTCGATAAAATATTGGCTAAAGTCTCAGCGTGTAGCGCTAAGTGTTCTTGGACAGTCTTTGTCGAGCTCCGGTCAATGTTGGAGGTGGAGAACACGCGGAACGCCTCCACCAGTTCGTACACGTTCATGATCAGGTTCCGGCTCTGCAACGGGGCCGTAGTGGTGCTGGCCACCAGGTCCTGGCACAGTTCGGTCAGCCTTTTCAATGTGGTCAAGCACATGGTCAGATTTTCCAGCAGCTCGGGCAGCGATGGTTCCGACATTGCAATCACGAGCAGTTTACTCGACGTTACCAGCTGCAGCGATTGATTCGTCAGTTCTTCTCGCGTTTTCTGCAAAAACACGCATTGATTATTTGTAGTAGGCAGTGGAAGCTTTACTACTTCCTTGGCTAGAGGCTGTATGGGGTTTCCTGGGCTGGGTTTACACTCGCAAACCAAATGAGTAAAACAAGACCAAGACCAAGAGTTATGTGTGCTTGGATTTGGTCTTGTTCTTGTTAACGAAAAGACCAGTTCAATACCCAATTACCCTTTGCAAGAGTCTTAAAGCGCTCTTGCAAAAGTATTTTTTTTGCCAACCTCAAAATGAGGACAAGAGGAAGCTACTCTTGTTAAGGAAGATTAGAACCGGACACCAGATTGGGATTACATCAGCTGATGATTTCCGTAACTTCTACACTTGCCTGCATTTGTTTTTCCATCAGGGACGTATCGCCATTAGGGAGTCGGCCAAGGCACTTAATGGAAGCTTGTTTCAAATGGCTCAACAGTTCTTTGAGCACCAGTTCAGTTTTGGATAGGACTTGTTTCAATTCCGGGGTGCAATCAGTCGGAGTTTTGCCGTTGGAAACGGCCTTTTGATCGGGAGCGGGCTGCGATGGCCAATTCGAGTCCTTGTAGATGGTCAGCGCGGAGATCGGAGGTCTTTTACCTGAGCAACATTGAACAGTTTCAGTAGATCAAAGGGAGGCACCCAGATGGCAAACTTGCCTCCGTAAGCTGAAATTGGGGTTGAAACTGCCGCTTCTGCGCTACTAAGCGTTCTCGCTTCAACCGGTGTGGTATTGGACGAGTTTCTTCTTTGAAACTCCATCGGCTTACAGCCGTTACCAAAGGGGGAAGTGAGAGGCAGTTGTGGTAACGAGGGCTTCTTGGGCGGTAGGCTAGGACGAGAGGTTGGATGCCCGGGTGCTTGACTACGAGGTGGCAGTTCTGGCACTGGTTGGTCTTTTATGGATGAGGCGATTGGCGATTCTGCTGTAGCCGTAAATGAGTATTTGCGCTCCTGGAGGAAATCGAAAGATGAACAACTGAAGACTAATGAGCGAAAAAATGCGAATTTTCTGGTTGGCGTATTAGAAAGAGGAACACAAGCAAGACACTCCAGGACACGCCTCCGTCGGTTCTTTCACTTACAGCAATCGTGTTTCTTCTCCTACTCTAATTAAGACCTTAATTTGTTGTCATGTTTTATTCCAATATATTTAATTTTATGGACTTGATTAACTAATGTGTTCACACTTCACAGTGAAGCAACGAGAAACCATAAAAACACCTTATTAAAAATAAATGCAAAACGTTTTTGGTCCTAAACTTGGTATGTGATGTTTGCATTGAAAAGCCCTTCTCCAAGCAAAATAATATTAGTTAAGTGCTCACTTTGGGCGGTCGGTCTGGCGGTTTCTCATCAAAGCTTCTCCGTGGTAGAGGCCTCAAAGCCTTCCCGTCCCCATCCTCAGCTTGATTCCCCTCTTTATTCATCAAAACATCATGGAGAGTTGATTTGTTCTTCACCAACCCGGGAAACTTGTCTTCAGCTGTCGATTCACCCTCCGGTTTCACCTCGTCGGCTTCCTCAAAGCTGAGCCTTTCTGGGGGTGGCGGAATAATGTACGCCATTATTTCCTCTGGAGTTAGTTCCATGGCGGGTGTAACTTTCTGGATAGGTGGCGGCACGCTCACTCTAGCCAAAAAGTCCTCCAAATCCTGGTTTTCATTCAAATCTGCAAAACAGATGCCATTCTTTGCTTCCCTGGTTGTCTCTCTTATTCGCTGCTCACCCAGAATATCCAGACGTTCCATAGAATCAGCAAAAGACTTGGGAGGAACGCTGATGGAGGTTGGCAGAGCAGAGTCTAGTTCATCGGGTGTAAGCGGTGGAGGAATGAAGGTAAGATCAATAATATCAGGATCAAACACAAACATGCCATTGATGGAGTTCAGAATGCTTGACTCGGTGTTCTCCAAGTCGCAAATCCTTTGCAAATACTCCTGGAACTCCTCGTTGTGATTGTCCAGGGTATTTGGTGAGCGCAGCCCAAAGCTCATGTTCTGACTGCGAAAATTCATCGCGCTTTCCTCCTTTTTTAACTTGGGAGAATCGTGCGGCGTGTAGAGTGAATCGTTGTCGCTCTCCGACTGCAACTGCTTCAGAAGCTCGGAGGTGCCGCTGTTAAACGGCTTGTTCTCCTCCTTGTGGATCTTGTTCAATAGGATCAGCGAGTCGCTGTGCTTCAGCTTTCCACCTTCTTCCGAGTCGCTGTCGAAGTCCACACTGGTTTCCTGCCACTCAGATGTTAAGGAGAGAATGTTGATGTTGTGGGGATCGTGCTCCAGAGGCTGCGATGGGTAGAATGCTTCAAAGAACTTGTCGGTCTATAAAAAAATGTTTCAGATGGTAATCGATTATTAAATTGAGTTCACTCACCTCAGCGCTGATCTCTCTTGAAACCTCACTCCGATCGCCTAAACCCTGTAATCCAAAGTCAGCGTTTCCCAAATAGCGATGGTTTCGGTTCGATATGGAGTTGTTCATGTTCCCATCCACATCATAGATGAGCAAGGGGGGTTTGGAGTGGCGCCCCACTGTATTATAGAGGCCGTTGGTCTTCCTGCTCACCCCTTGATAGGTTGGCAGAACTGTGAAAGTGGCACTTTTAATGGACATTTGTTCCAGGTAGCTCCACTTTTCTGGGATCACTTTGTGCTGTGCCAAGTAAGACGGAGCGAGATCTTCGTCTGGTTCCTGGACTTTTTCTTGATCCACTGGCAGCTCCTGATTGGTGATCAGTCTGAAGTAGCCTTTGAGGACCAGGACGAGTTCCATCGCGTCCTTCTCGTCCAAAGACACTTCCAGGATTTTATCGCTGTGCAAAGTGATTAGGACGATTTGTGTGACCTCGTCTTCGGTTTTCACTTCAATTTTCTTCATCTCCTCCAAGTTTGCCAACGGAACGGGCTGAAACTTGAATTAAATCAACGCTACGCCAAAAGAAATTGATGTGATTGTTCATTGTTCCGCAGTGGAACAATTCAATCAGCCAAGTGCTTCCAGGTTCCTCAAAGAGACGGAAATAAACGCGCCACTACGGAGAATCGATTTTCATGCACGTTCACTCCAGAGGAGGCACAAAGAGACCGGTTGTTTCAGGGGAAAGCCTGAATGCTCTGAAATGTCTTTTGTCCTTGCGAGGTAAAGGATATTTCGAGCTTGAGCCACGTTTAATTAAATTGAGTCCAAAAAAACGGGGACTAAGTAGTTTACTTGCTAAGTTTGAAACAGTGGCAAGTAAACGGTTTCGCACTTTAAAATCTAAATAACTTTAAAAAATCTTCCCTTGACTGAAAGCTTACCACAGAGTTTCGGTGTCCCATAATCTGGCTAATCCCAAACTTCGGGCTGACCAGAATGACTTTCTCCATTAGGTCGCCTTTGGGGCCGGCACTAAAACACTTCGCCCCAAAGCTGGGCAGCTGACTAGCTATGTCCAGATAGTGCAGCTTCACTTGCAGCGAGGTCAGCTGCTTCCCCGACCCCGTCATAGTCGAGTGCAGCTTCAGGAAGTGGCCCAGCAGCTTCCTGATTTCTTTCCGCTTTAAATTGTCCAAGATAGAGGCCGGAATAAACCGCTCCAATCCAAACTCCTTTCTAAAAGTTTACCGAATCGAAATCAATGTTCTTATTGCAAAAAGTCCTTATAATTAGGCATGCGAAACACTATGTTGAGTTTGAGCGATTTTGTGTTGTTGCCGCACTGTGCGCCAATGAGGTATGAAGTCTCACCGCGCCACACTTTGAATGCGGCTTTTAATTTTACCACTTTTTCGAAACTTTATTTTAACACCTAAAAAAAGAATTTTTGCAAACTTTATTAGTTTGCAACTAGGGTTTATACAAAAATCGATATTTTAGAAAACCGGTTTTCGAATAGTAATTTTTTCAGAAAACCGGTTTTAACCGGTTTAGAATTTTCATAAAAAAATTTAGAGTGATTAAAAGCAGTTTTTGACTGAAATTATTTACTGTTCAATTTTATTGATGGTAAAATTTTTTTAATATAATTTAGTAGAACAAGGAAATAATAGTTGACCAGGATTAAATAACTTTAAAAACAATTATTCGTTGTTTATGCATAATTTTCACATATAAAGATGTAAATATTTTTATAAGAGTGAAACGAGTTATTCAGCAAAGAGTTCGAATAAATAAAAACAATATATTTTCATATTTTTATAATAACCATATTATTTTTTTTAAACAATGTTATTGGATACAGACGGATACTTATTAAAAACTTATTAGAAAATACGGATACTTATTAGAAAATATATAACGGTGTATTATATAATGTAAATTATAATCAAAGCCGAAAGACAAGAGTAAATAAGTCACTTCTTCCGGTTCCTTTAAATACTTATTAATTGCCTCTTTCAGAGCATTTTCCAATAAAACATTGTCTGGCTCTTGAATATCGCTTTCATCACATTTTTGAATATCACATTCTTCCCCTGTACAGTAATCTTTGTAGAATATTGATAATATTTGTCCGGTTAACTTAATAATGTCACTTTTCGTTGCTAATGGAAGGAATTCATTAGAAGATTTCGTTAAAACAGTTTGAGAATTTTGTAAATAATTCTTCAATCCGTGCCTTTACAGCGTGTAATAATTTCGGATTTCAAATTTTGTACTTCACCCAGCAAAAATTCAAATATACCTTCACTTGTTAAAAACATTTGCGTCTTGTCTAGCTAAAGCTTCGGCTACTAATTTTATCGGACCTAAAACTTTAACGAGTTCTACAACTTATTGTATTGTAATATTCTTATTCATCTTCATTCTACATATGAGAAGCATAAGGTCATTCAGAGTTAAAGCAACACATTCTTTTAGCTGTACAAATTTTTCTAACATGGCCTCTAAACTATTCCATCTTGTTTTACAGTCAAGAATAAGATTGTATTCTTTCTCGTATTTCCGTTTCACGTGATTCTGAAGATTGCTATTTTTGACAGGGGATTTTCTAAACGACCTGCAAATTTTCCTTACTTTACAAATAATATTTTTATAATCATCCAATAATTCAGGAACAGGTAATTTATAATTGTTTATGTCAAGAGAATCTAATTATTCAAAGTCATTATCAGAGTCTTCACTTGCAATATTTAAATCTGTTTCCGATGGACTTTTATTTTTATTATATACACTATATCAGTAACTGATGTAGTGTATCTGTATGGTATGTGAATAACACAGTTGATTAATTGCTGGTGATATGTGGCCATATTTTTTCATAACAGCAGCACCATCATTTGCTGATGCAACTTTATCAGTTGATAAATCAAGATTAAGTTTTTAGTTTCTCAGAAACCAGTTTTAACATTGTTTTAGCATTGCAAGTACTTGATATCGGAGCTAATCCTAAATCAAAGTCTTTTTCAAGTTGTGTACGCTAATATTTAAATATCTTCGATTTCCTTTACTAGGCCAATCAACTATAGATATAGAAAATGTTTGCCCTTTATTCTTCATACAATTTAATTAATTTATAGTTTCAGTTTTTATAGTTTTATAAAACTTATAAATAAGATTAATAACTCTAGAATTATTTAGTGGTAAGCAATAATTTCGTTGTTGCAATGACTCTTGTATGAACGAACTATTTGTTATGCAATTAATAGATAGTCTA